GCGACTCAAAAGGCTATAAAATAGCTGTATTGAAGGTGAAACAACGCAATGAACAATATTTTAGATGTCTAAGGTTAACTGGCCATCTGTTTATTCATTCTGTATAAATGGTGCGGATGCCTATATAGTACATAATAAGAACTGGAAAATGTATATATTTAATAACTGTAACTATTTCAAGCACAAAGAGAATATCTTACTACAATGTTGATGTATGGCATCAACAAATAGTCAGGCAGTCCATACAGTTTGACCAGTGTATATACTGTCCGTACCTTTTTTAATTAATGCGTTTTAAGTGTATGAAGCTATATATCTGCTGCAAAATTTTTGTTTGAATTATAAAAAAAGAATACTTCCAAAATGCTTGTATGGAATAAATACGGTAGTAAATTGCATTAAAAAGCGCATGGCGCGTGCACGATAAAACCCTTCTTAAAATAGCAGAATAATAGTTTGTTCCGGAACATGCTTCTCCTTTTTACGTACAATATTCATGTTTGTTAAATAACAGAGACATACTTGTACACCCCTTCCGAGAATCGACCATAAGATTATGGAACCATTATAAATTTACTGTTGATATTTTTAAAGAAAAAAAAATCCACATGTAGCTTTATACCCTTTAACTTCAATTGGACTATTCAAAACTTAAAGAAAAGCAAATCTGTTAAACAAATCAGATGAATGGCTATCATTTAATTTTGCAAAAGCATGATATGACCATACATGAAACCATGAAAGGTCCATCTAAGTTATGCCATATCCGTGGGACCTGAATAGTGATCCGATTCCTTGCAGGACGTAGAAGTCGATTTAATTGTTTCGGAGATAAAATGTGAATATCCTAGCACGAATTGCGTTGCAACCAAACGCTTTATAATTTTACGCAGTTTTTTCGGCACGTTTCGTCATAAATAAATAGAAGATAATAATTGTATACTTCTTGCTAAGCATTCATTGTATATAAACCAATCGCAACATTACGGTATTTTCAATTATAATAAGAGTGTTACGAGCGAGAATGTGCGTATTTCTTTATCTTATTATCTTATTTCTAAAAGCACGAGAATTCTTTTTCATCTTATTTTCACATCCAAATGATGCAGATTCCACGTTCAGTAAAACATACTGAAAAAGTTCAAATAAGATAATTCCTGCATGTCAACATTTATTTCTTTGTAATTGCAAAAATATCTCCGGTTCTTAATTGTAAGACTGGCCAAAAATGAAGGAAACCGTTCAAGACTGGCCAAAAATGAAATTTAGATAAGCAATATATGTTGACTTACTCTTAAATCACACACTATTGCCAGCAAACAAAGTCTTTTACAGTTGATAAACCCTTCTGCTTTCTGACTAGATCGATGTACGAAATCTCTCGAGTACGTCTGCCTCATTTCCCGCGAAATTGCTGATCGGTCGAGCGCGTTTTGTGTGAAATCTATGTTGACCCCCTAATGACTGTTTTCTTCACTAAGAAGTCTCTAACTTGACAGACAGAAATTCTAAGGAGGAAAATGAAATCTACCTCATGAATTTGGATTTCCGGGCGACTGACACAGGGTCGGAATATATTTCCATTTCTATTTATAAGATTCCGAGCTGTCAAAACATGTAGAGCTAGCGACCAGGAATCCAATTGCGAATATTTCGTGAAGCGCATAATCGGGACACGATTTGATTATTACTAATGATTACATCCCTGCTGAATTTCCATTTCATTAGAGGCTATCCCCCAATAGGATTTACACGACTAAATCAATTTGAAGACAATTGCAAACAAGCTCGACGAGGCCATTATACACTTGAGACAATGTCTGGTCATTACAGGGGATTCATTTGGGAAGGCAATTTAAAATCGGATAAATAACAGAGCAACTTTTTTTTCCTAAGAAAAAAGAGAGAAAAATTGGATAGGGGATTCAAATGAATATTTTAATGTAAAAATCTAAATCTTACGATTTGTTACGAGAGAAGAAGCGTGTTCTCAAATTCAGCGGTAATTAAAGAAATAACGCAAATCTTTTTAGAAAAAAAAACCACACACATTTTGTGATAACTAGAACTTTCCAATTATTTTAAAACCAGTCGCAAAATATGACTCTTTGGTTGGCAAATCTCAAGATTTCAACTTCCGACAATTAACACCTACAGTAAAACAATTTTCTACTATTGTTTTCTGTTTTAAAGAAATTCTCGAATTGCCATCGTGTTGGCTAAAGGCAGACCCCGAGTACACCATGCATTATTTCAGCACAAGCGGACTTCCGTGTAGAGCCTTTGGGCTTCAGTAAACCAGTCGGTAAGAATGTGTGCTCGACTTTTCTTAGTGCTTAATAATAAAACAAGCGCCTGGATAATGTAGAATGCTTCTAGGTTCAAAACTGGCCTTTAGTCTGTTAAAACCCATGCCAGAGTTATCGGCCTTGGACAGTGACATACTATGCTCTCAAGTGTGGGAAGTTTCAACCCATTCCTTCAGTAGTTTTGGAAATGCCAACTTACACGCACAAACTTTGCAATATATTATATTATAATGCAATTTTAAACCATTGTTTTCTTCTAACGTTCCTTTTATATTATCTCATCAACTTCAAAATTTATACTATAAATGTATTGTGAAAATCTTATGTCTCCTTTTATTTAATGTTTTACTTACTGTATATGTACTTACTGATGTGTATGTGTATGGATATGTATGATTGTATGTTTCGATCTATTAATAAATGGGGTTCCACATATGTGGACCTGAAGCTGAAAAAAAAGTAACATATTTCATTTGAGTATTTTATTTAAATAAGGAGCAATGTATAATTCATTATTATATTGCATGGTTAATGTTCCTCTTAATAAATGGAATACCATATAGGTTGGGCAACCGTTTGAAAGTCATGTAAATGTTTAAAGGGCCCATTACATGTATGCCCCAGAAGTAACTTTATTTCTTTTTCTCAAAAGCTTTTTTTTATTTTTGATGTACATATACTACAATAGTTTCCAAAAAAGTAACTCATTTGCTAATTACCTGAGCCATCTTTTTCTTCTGTAGCCTTTTGGCATTTAGTGCAGTTATAAGTCTTTATTGTTTTGTATGGGAGTCAAAAACTCCGTTTACATTTTGCTTATTTTATCACAGATCATTTCACATTTAGCATAACACGTACTTTCTTCAGGAAACAATAATTTACCATGCTCTAAATCATTATTTAGATATTCTAAACCTCATACTAGTATGTGCAAGTAAAATTTTATTCTTTTCTGTGGCATATGTCTATAAACTGTGTTCTGCTCCACACGATTTGTCCGGTTTGATATTAAACAGATACATTTGCATCCATCAAGGCACTAAAAACAGGGTCTTTCAAATAGAATTTGAAAGACCCCGCCCTAGTTGAGAGTTTCAAGCATGTCACACTAAAATGCCAGCATTTATTCCAGCAAAGTACAATGTATTTGAATTTAAAAGAATAACAATATATTTACCTCATCTTCATCGCCACAGGTAACATATTTTAACATGAAGATTTATTTTTAAAATAGTGTATAATATAAAAGGATCGAAATGTGGAAGTTATCCACTTTGCTTACGGAACGTCGGTGGTTCTACTCAGGTGCCCGTTCGTGCCTGAAATAATGCCCGGAAAGGCACCTGAGGTCTTCGCTGGAACGTCGCCATATGACATATGCTGTCGGTATGACGTAAAACCCAGTCAAACAAACAAGGATCGAATGTTACATCCATTAAGTTTTATTTGCTACAAAATGAGTATTTTTCATTTTTTGATAGACACGAGTGATATTTCAATGGAGTAAGGAGCTACTTATCTACGTCATATGATGTTAAGGGGAAAAACTAATTCAATTGAGATAACAGGCAGCCATTCAAAATATACAATTTAATTGCAAGGGGAATTACTTACTATAGTATGAACACGCGACCGTGAATTTATTATCTAAGGGGAATAACTACATCTAATGTATCAAATATTATTTCATGTGAAGTTATCTTACCCTTATTTACAAGGCCTCTTTTTTAAAATTGTGAGTGGCCAGTGTGGTATCTTGCAAGTACAGTGACATGATTAGAAAATAGTAAATGTTGCCATAGAAACAGACATTTTCAATAGTTATGCTATAAAAACTATCCCTTGATCAACTTTTTATCAATTTCCCTTATCTATGTTAAACAAGAGGGCCATGATGGATCTGAAATCGCTCACCTGAATATAAAACTATCCATGGGAAGGAAAAAGTATTTTATTAATATTGTAATCTATAAACAAAAGCTGATATAAAATCTAAATCTTAAACTGATATCACAAAGTTCATACATGTATTTGTATCTGAATTAGTTCATGTGTAAAAACATTATCGGTTGCTATTGCTTAGGGAAAACAATAGTTTCAGAAGATTTGTAAATATAAGGGAAATCAATGACCACCTTGGGCGGGGCCAATTTTGACCAAGGGCTATTATTTGAACGAACTTGGTAGACACCCCTAACAAGTTTTTTACATGTTTAATATCTAACCTCTAGCTCTTTGGATTTTTTAAAAGAAGATTTTTTTTAAAGTTTTTACTACATACATATAAGGGTAATCAATAACCCCTTTAGGGAGGGCCAATTTTGACCCCAGGTCTTTTATTTGAACAAACTTTGTAGACACTCATTAGAAGATGTTTCATGCCAAATATTTAAGCTCTACCTCTTTGGTTTTTTTAAAAGATATTTCAAGTATTTTCTTTTGGTTACCATAGCAACTGGAGTTCCGCATGGAATTAAATTCTTCGGACAATCTTTAAGGTGACCACCAAAGGAACTTTCCTGTGAAGTTTGGATGAAATTGGCTTAGCGGTTTATGAGGATATATCGTTTAAAGTTAAAATTTACAGACAGACGCAAGACAAACCGGATGAAAAGCAATCACAAAAGTACAAAACACCAAAAGTACTGGCTTAAAAAATCTCATTTTAAAATATACAAAAACAATATTATATATGTATGTTTCATTTATTATACACTTACAATAAAACTGTACATAAATTATATTTACAAATTATTATACAACATTATAACATTAAATTTTCCTATTTCAACAACTTTCAGAATTGTAATATCCTTAATTTAATTTCTTAATAACAAATAGCACCTGCATGTGGCTGTATTTTTAAATGACCAATTATCATATATGTATATGAGACTAGGCAAGTACATGTACTTTACAAAAATGAAAATTATACTAGATCTAATGTAACCATTAAGGTATTCTTGGGTCTCTCTAAATTATGAGGTTGAAAGAGCTTAGAAGATATCACCTGTTTTTCTTCAATTTCTTTTTCTCTTTTTAAATTATATTTTTGCACATACCATTTTGCTTATCAGTCAATTTCTTGCACATTTACCAGTTAACTATGTACAGAATTTTTTATATCATCTGCTTATAACTGCACATATGACATAACACATTATACAGATTTCATGGCATCACATGATGCATATTTTAACTGTCACATGACATGTCACATGACTGACAAAGTATAAGTCACATGACTATAGTTTCCAAAGTGTCACATGATACAGATCTGGGTGTCACGTGACATTAAAGTGTGTATTAGAGAAGGCGTGGAGGTTTCCCATCTGACTCAATCCACTCTGTACATGGTTAATATGAATCTCCACATTGTTCTTGAAAGAACTGAAATATAAATCAAAATTAAAATTTTAAAACAGAATCCTCAACATTCAAACGTTAACTTTATTATCATAGAGGTCATCGAAAATAGTGAATATGTTGCTATCATTCGCAGATGCAATTCGACCAATCATAAATTCTTACTTTCCCACCATTTGAACAATCAAACAAATCTTCCACAGCCACAAAAGGTTCTCTCGCATGCTTCTACTAAAGGTGTCCAGTTTTCTGTTAAGGAACAAAAGTGACTTTCTTGCTTCAATTATACAGTGGTGGAGGGAGAAAGTCACATACCGCTCTTTGCATTATTTCAGACACCAACAGGTACCAATGTCTTGGGTGGAATTTCAGTATATATCAGAAAGTGGGTAAGTGATTCTCAGTCAGTGATTTTAACCACACAGTAATGAAGACCCTAAAATGCACTTTATTTGTATCTCACAATTTACCATTCATTTACATACAATATTATATTTAACTTTATGTGATAAACATGTTTTTAAAATACAAAAGGTTTAATAATTTCATCTAAAAATCTAAAGACAGTCTTAACATACAAGATATTTGTAGATATTCAGCAACCTAAACTTCTAACTATTGGTATGTAGTGAGTCAAGTTTTTCTCTCGTTACAGTTATAAACAAAGTCAATTTGCTCTCTTGAAATAAATATATTATTTGCGACCAAGCAGTTGGTCGAGCATCAACTTAAATATGATTGCCTGCTTTACAGAATAATCCGTTTTAACTTCAATCTCAGGTATAGCATCAGATTTGAGACTTGGTGAAAACGAGAGCTAACAAGGCCAACACCACCCTCAAACTATTCTTAACTCTTGATAGCAAACCATCCAAGTGCAATGCAAAATTATCTAAGTTTTTAAAGGAGTATACTTCAGGAAAGGTCAAGATATCCGAAAGGCAAAAGTAAAGTGGACTTTTGATAGTGGCTCACAATCAAGATCCCAACGCCCCCGATGATATCTATGATGTTTCCATTGTTTATGGAATCCATGTTTGATTTCTACATTCACAAAGACATAATCTAGAGTATTTGGTTGATGCCCGACAATTATGACCCCCAATACATGTGTCAAGATTAATGTGACTACTTTCAGCGGCAAATGAGATACAAAGTTATGTTTAGAACTTGAACTAAAAGTTACACCCACTTTGTGTTGGGTAGGATAGATGCAATCGGTTTTCTATACATTTTGCACTTACTTTATATTATTTCCATCCAATTTTGACCTGACCTCTGTCAGAGTGTCTTGTAAGGATTTAAACTCAAAGGAATTCAACTCATTCTCTGAGAATGTCTGTAAAATCAAAGGCAAGATAAGAGAGTATGAAGTATAAAGCATATACATGCATAAGCACCATACAATGTTTATATTTTCTATGAAATCTAATCTAACAACTTTCTGTGCTTCTTAACGTAATACAATAGTGTAATCCTACTCAATAGAATATCAAAACTTATTTCCTATTGGAATAACAAATATTTTGAGTTTATTAATCCTAACAATGATAATTTTGATAATGTCTTGTCCAGGACTGTATATAACTTTTAACTTCCAGTAGTTCAATGGATACAGGTTCTTTCCAGGGGTTCACCACAAATTCAAGGGGTCCATCAATCTATGTAATTATTTTATATTGTATCAAAACAAGTTTTGTTAATATGAATACACAAAATAAAAACAAAAACACCCTTCTATAACAACAACAATTTACAACAATATTCCTACCTTTATCTGTAACATAAGAGATGTTAATTTTCCAATCAGCTCCATCAATGGTTCATTTTTGGCTAATCTTTTATTGTGGAACATATTCTGAAATAAATACAGGAAAACTTAAATCATATAACAAAATAACTACTGTATTGACAAGATTCAGAACAAAAGCACCACAAAGGTGGGGCAACATATGCTCAAATGTAAATTTGTTTGAGAAATCAAAAATAATTTTCCAATTAGGGTAGAGTCCCAATCAAGAAAATTGTCTCTTAATTATCCTTATGATACTATATGATTTCCAACATGGAGGAATTTTTACCCTAAGTGCATAATACATAAAACTTTTATGAAGGTCTCTACTAGGCAATGCTATAAGCCAAATAAGGAGGCTAAAAAGATAAGATGTGTTTTCCTGTACATTAGTCTAGTTAAAGCAAGTGACTCCCAAACACGGTAAATTTTGACCTTAGGTTCATGATTAGTATAACTTTAGTAGAACTCTACAAATAGATGCTGCATGCCAACTTGCAGGAACACTTCAAAGGATTGTTGTGTCCAAATATGAAGACAATTCATTAATTAACAATAAAGCAATAGCCACCTTGGTACATTTTTGGGACATTTTAAGTTAAAAGGGGGCATAATTCTGTTAAACTAACTATCAGAGTTATGAAACTTGATACAGACAGTTGTAAATTGTGATATGACTTTGATGTGCCAAGTTTCAAGATAATATCTCTACTGATTTCCAAGATGAACTATAGTTGGTGGGGATATAAATATACTTACATTTGTAATTTTGTTGACAAGATTAGCTGCCTCAGAATCAGCTTTGGCCTTGACCTCTGATGGCTGGTCTATAGGCTTCAACCCTTGCTCTGGTGCTATCTAGAAACACAAAGAACAAATAGTTAATAATAACCAATGGTTTTCTGTGTAGTATTATAGTATATTTATAGGTTTATCTGTCACATGACATTATCTCAGTTCTTTTTTAGACCAAAATGGCTTTCTTTGCATTAAAACTAGTATTACGCAGTAAAAATGAAACTTAAAATACTTTCAAGAAAACATTTTTTCTCTACAAACCCAAATTAACTGAATGAAGCCTGCCAAATTTATACAGAAGGCAAAGGCAGCAATAGGCGCCATTACATTAATCTTCTTTCTTGATTGGGTTTTACATTGCACCAACACGGTAGCAATCATATGGCGACTTCACAGCATTACAGGTGGAGGAAGACCTCAGGTGCCCTTCAGTGCATTTTTCAGGCACAAACAGGCATCTGAATAGAACCAAAGACATTCTGTAAGCCTGCTGAATAGCGTCCTCACATAGATGAAACCAAAGTCCCTGGCAAGATTTCAACTAACAGTAGTGAGGGGCAAGTAGTTTGAAGTCAACAACCTTAACCACTTGATATACAAACATGATACACTGATAAAAATATGACACCATCTTACATGTGCTAAATAAATTCTTCCGAGATAGACAATTACTGTAAAACACTTATTTTCGAGAGAACCTTATTTCGCGAATTTAAGGCAAAATGTCCAAAACAATTATTTCGCGTCAACATGAATTCGCGTCTTCCCGAAAAATGTGAAACCGGAAACCCGATGTTATTGGGATATTTTCTGTCCTGTCCGTTCACTAACTTTGCGTTGTTTATTTTGCGACGAAATTGAAATTAATCCATTAAGTTGGACAGATTTTCACATTAATTAGAACAATCTGTAGAAATACCATTAAAATTTTTTGAGACGCATTAATTTGTTTATACTTAATTCTAGTGCAAGTCACAGTTACCTTCCTTGACACAGGTAATATGCAGCGAAGAAGTGTTTTGCCAGTTCCTCAATAATACCAAATTGTTACAGGTAAATATTTCATACTAGTAATCTGTACGATATGTATATGCTGCAACACTTGAATAGCTACATGATGTAACTAGAACTGATTTCGATACTTTCCCGCAGATATATATCCATGTGTACACATTTTCGGATAGTGTTCATTTTTGGACAAGTGTATAGACAAAGTGAAATATTCGCGAGAAATATGAATTCGCGTCTAAGAAAACTCGCGAATATTAGCGAAAATAAATTTCTTGCGAATAATAAGTGTTTTACAGTATAATATATAGTTTCAAAGTCTTTATTCTGAAGATGAAAACTAACAATTTGGTAGAAAGGATATTATTTACTTTACATAATATGACCCAATATCTGCTATAATATGGGCCAAAAAAGAAACCGAGACTTACATCATGGCAATATTGCTGTACACCCACCAAATACTCGTTCAGGTCTTTATTTAAATTCTCAAGCTCTAGCACTATATTAGCATATTTCTTCTGGAACTCTGGAGGTATGGGCTGTTGGTATGATTTCTACAAAATATATACACAATAAATAATTATTTTAAGAAGATCTTAAACTTTCATTTAAAATTCCTAATCTGAAATGATCAGCAAGAGTAAAATAAAGACACATTATGCCTCAGAAACGAACAAATTTTTACTTCTTTAGAAATGGAAACACAAATTTTTACAACATTCAAATTAAAATAACAGTTTTAGAGCATGTTAGATGCTTGTTTCTCGAAGAAAGCAGCGCTAAATGTGGAATTATTCGTCAAGAAAGTAGCAAAATCTAAACAAAGTAGTATTTTGGAGTCCATACAAAATACTATATCACTGAAACTAGAGTAATTGCCAAAAAGAAACAGAATAAAAAGTGAGAACAGGAAAATGGCCAATGAGTTTTTTTTTTGGAAACTATAAAAGTACACCAGAAATGAAAAGCTTTTAAGAAATAAAAAAGCTGTCGGTAGGACAGCAACGCTCGACTATTCTTAGTGCTTGATAGTAAAAGAGCCTTGATAAAGTAAAATTTTCAAAGTTAACAAAAGGGCAAAATTTTTCTTTAAATCCATGTTACAGTTATAGGCAAGAGTCCTATTATGCTCTCAAAGTAGAGTATAAAATTTCAACTTGTATCAATGCCAGATATTAATAGAATATGAAAATAAGTCAATAGAATATGTAAATAAATGTAAATTCTACGGTGAAAAAGGGGTATTATTTTGTTAAAATGTATAATAGAGTTACCCCAGTGTCTACAGGTTGGGGTCATGATGGTAAACAAGTGTGCAAAGTTGCAAAGCTATATGTCAATGGACTTTGAAAATATTTGAACTATTACAAAAACTTTAACATAAATTCTAAGTCGAAAAGTTACCTCCTCCTGTCTACAGGTTGGGGTCATGATGGTGAACAAGTGTGCAAAGTTTCAAAGCCATATGTCAATGGACTTTGAAAATATTTGAACTTTTATTTAAACAAAAACTTTAACATAAGTGGTTACACCGACGCTTGGGTGACTACAATAGCTCTACTTATTCTTATCGAATAGTCGAGCTAAAAATAAAATCATTTTTTGGTCTTTAAAAACAGTATTTAAAAAGGCAGTTCACATTTCAGAACTTATGCTACAGTATCTTTAAGTGATGTGATTACAATCAACTGTCATATAGTGACATTCCAGACACTCAAAAAGGTTACAGGTTGCTGATGATAATCATATTTATTTACATCTTCATTGGAAGAGAAGTCCTAAATACTAGAACACAAAGAACATTTAGATGATTAAATTTGAGACAGCCTGATCTTGGTCAGCACTGCTTGCATGGGTAGAATCAGCCACCAACAGGCTAATTCTGAGCAAATATCACCGCTTTTTCTTCTGTCTCTAAAAATCTCAATACACCTTATATGAAATCTTACTGAATATGTTGCAATCAAAATAGTGCCCTCTGAAAATCTTTGATCTACAGAAAAAAGATGTACCAATAACATAAAAGAATTTACATTTACATGTACCCGTTTTTCTGCCTCCGTATTCATCTCCTTTAACTGTTTGATCCATTCCTTCTTTATATCTAATATCTTTGACAGACGTGTCTGTAAAATTATAAAACAATGCCTTCAATAACTTGGTGGTGGTGGTGTTGGTAGTTTTCACTCTGGATCATGGCAGTAAGCCACACTGAATTTACCAGAGCACAGTTCAGCAAACCGCATCGTTCCTGGGCAAGCTGTCAAGCAATTTACCAGTACTAGTTGCCTACACTTACGCAAGGAACTGATTACTTCTGTACATGCCAGAGCAGAGGTACAGTGCGATTGACTGTAGAAAGGATTTCATGATCAATTACAAGGAAAGTGACCTATGCTATTCAGGAATCGAACCCGATTTGCCCGATTCACAGTCCAACGCTCTACCTATTGAGCTAACTGGACGGCTTAAATAACTTTTTACCTTCTCTTTCCTTTATAACATTGAGCCTCCACATTTGTGTTTATTTATATGAAATATAAGTGATTACGTCTAGCCTTAGGCACTTACACATCAACAGAAAATATGTATTACTTGGAGAAAAAAGATAGAAAATTCTCTTTCTTTATAAGTAACAGCATTAAATGTAACTTTCGTAACCAATCAAAGGGAAGTAATTGTAAGATAAATGGTCAAAAATCCAATGTTACCTTTAAGTCAAAGACTTAACATTCTGAAATTTGTAATCAAAGAACCTGTTATAAGTTCATTCATATATTTACCACAAGAACAAGAAATTTGATGGGGAATCCACCATATGTTCCTCCTTCAATGCTCATCAATTGTCCTTTAAATGGGCTACCACTGAGTAATGGGTCATTGTCCTGGAAATGTAAGCAGATTATGTATGATACAAATTATAAGTTATAAAGATTTTGTCAGATAATGGCCGTATATAAACGGTTGTTTGGAAATATTAACTTGAGCCACTAGGGTATATAAATGGTTGTTTGGAAATATAACCCAAGTTGTCAGGTTAGGGTTATATTGCAAACAACTGTTATAATAAAGCCATATAACCTGTCAGGAATATTTATAACAAATTTTTATAATACAGCAAATTTCTTTTTTTGAAGAAGAAGAAAAAAGTGAGATTTCTTCATAAATTGACAGCAGCTGTGTATATTATTAGTTATAGATTTTTTTTGACAGGTTATATGGCCCTATATAAATGTTTTTTTGTAAATATAAGCCTAGCCGCTAGGCAAGTGTTATATTGTAAACAACAGTTTATATACGGCCATATAACCTGTCAGAAAAAAAACACTGTAAATGTACAGTATTATAAGAAAAAAATAAATAAACTGAAATACATGCTCCAACCTTTCCTTCTTGCTAATAAACACATATACAATAACAATTTAATAAAATATAAAGGCTGTTAGCTTCCAACATCTAAAAGAACTAATAGAAGGAGGGGCTTGCATTGCTACCCAAAATGTTGTGACCAAGTCTTTCGAAAATGTTTATAATATCTGATCAAATATCACTTTTAGGCAGTTGACATAACATTTGAATTTTACTGTTTTTTTTTTAAACATTCACTTGTTTCCTTTTCCCTCTGATTTATTAACTATGTTACCTAGTGTTTTGTACCATACTGTTTGCAAGTCACATTTTATTTTTTGTTTTTGTGTCAAGAATTTGAATAAAATAAAAAACTTATTAGAAGATAAAACAAGAGGGCCATGATGGCCCTGAAGTCGCTCACCTGTATATAGGCCCCCGGAGCGGGGCCAGTTTAAACCCCAGGGCTTTTATTTGAACAATCTTTGTAGGCACTTACTAGAAGATGTTTCATGCTTAATATCTAAACTCTAGCTATTCGGGTTTTTTCAAAGAAGATTTTTAAGTTTTTGCTATACACATATAAGGAAAATCAATGTCCCCCGGGGCGGGGCCAGTTTTGACCCAAGGGCTTTTATTTGAACAAACTTTGTAGACACTAACTAGAAGGTGTTTCATGCTTAGTATCTTAACTCTAGCTATTTGGGTTTATTTCAAAGAAGATTTTTAAGTTTTTGCTAAACACATAAAAGGAAAATCAATGACCCCCGGGGCGGGGCCAATTTTGACCCAAGGGCTCTTATTTGAACAAATTTGGTAGACACCCATTAGAACATATTTCATGCTAAATATCTTAGCACTAGCTCTTTGGATTCTTTAAAAGAAGATTTTTTAAGTTTTTACTATATGCATATAGGGAAAATCAATGACCCCCTGGGGCGGGGACAATTTTGACCCCAGGGCTTTTATTTGAACAAACTTGGTAGACACCCATTAGAAGATGTTTCATGTTAAATATCTTAGCTCTAGCTCTTTGGGTTCTTTAAAAGAAGATTTTTTAAGGTTTTACTATATGCATTTAGGGAAAACCAATGACCCCCTAGGGCGGGGCCAATTTTGACCCCAGGGCTTTTATTTGAACAAACTTAGTAGAAACTCAGTAGAAGATGTTTCATGCCAAATATCTAATCTCTAGCTCTGTGATTTTTTTTAAAAGAAGATATTTAAAGTTTTTTCTTTCGGTTGCCATGGCAACCAGAGTTCTGCATGGAATGGAATTCTTTGAACAACTTTGTTAAGGCTTCACACAAGGAACATCCCTGTGAAGTTTCATTATGATCTGCCTTATGGCTTCAGAGGAGATGTCGTTTTAAAAGTGGTCTTTTTAAAAGGAACATTCCTGTGAAGTTTGGATGAAATTGGCTTAGTGGTTTATGAGGAGATGTCATTTAAAGTAAAAGTTTACCGACGCCGGATGGACGCCAGACAAAAAGCGATCACAAAAGTTCACTCTGTCACTTTGTGACAGGTGAGCTAAAAATGCCCTAGACTGCGAAGGGCTTATTGACTATACAAACCAAAGAATATCCAGAAGTAAAGTTGTTAGGTATAAATCTGGGTGGAGACATTAGTGATCCATGCGTGCGATGTTGAACATTGCGGGGTCTTGCCTTCTGCTGGTATGCTGACAAAGGAATAGTCTCTACTGGTTCACTACTCTATGATGATAAACCGTGATAAATTTATATTATGTATAGTAAAAGAATGTGAAGAAATATAAAATGTCATATAACAGATACTTTGCTTGTAAATGGAATAACTCTTTCTCATTAATACTCCATTCTTTCTTTCAAATACCTTTAAATAAATAAAAGCTTATGCCCTATGGATATTTTTATGGTTATCAAATCTTTTTAGTTTGACTAATAATTATACAGATACAATGGTACAACAGATAATTTTCCAAAGGGTACTTGAATAGATTCTTGAAACGAAAAAAAATTCCTAAATCCCTAATAGGATTTGAACTAAATGCTGTTTTCGGCAAATCATTTTAAGTCAGCAATCTTAACCAGTTGTAGATGAAAGTTTCTGTTTATTACTTAAGTACATAGAAGTTATCTAGATTATCCATATCTAATACAGAACCTTTAACATTTGACAAAGTGGAACACAATTCTTTAGTGGCCATTAAATTGTATTTTGAGGGTAAGTGCAAAACAGCTGTAACTCCTATAACACAATGAAGGAGTTACATTAGTTTCACACCGATCCATTAATTTGAACTCACCCTGACTTCATAATCTGGTATAGAATGAGTGCCTAGTCCAGGTCTGTCAAAAGTTACTCTATATGTGTTATGTACTGTATCTAAGGCATCCACTACTCCAGTGAATAAACCATCCTGTGGTCTACGTAGGCGTGCTGAAACAAAAGTACTGACAGTTAAACACGCATTCTATTATATACTCAACCATTCTACTATGTATCAGCCTAAGATCTCCTTACTTTGTCCCTAACATTCAGTAGTTGAGTATTCATCTAGTCAACTTAACTGGAGCTTGCAACCTGTCTGTAACATTATAAATTTGAGGTCTCTACCAGTTTAACTGATATTATGCTCTGTAAGGCATTATTCTGTAATAAAACATGTTTATAAGGAGAGTTGACATAAGAAATGTCATCCATAAACTATAAGGAGTGTTGACATAAGAAATGACATCCATAAACTATAAGGAGAGTTGACATAAGAAATGACATCCATAAACCATAAGGAGTGTTGACATAAGAAATGACATCCATAAACTATAAGGAGAGTTGACATAAGAAATGACATCCATAAACTATAAGGAGAGTTGACATAAGAAATGACATCCATAAACTATAAGGAGTGTTGACATAAGAAATGTCATCCATAAACTATAAGGAGAGTTGACATAAGAAATGACATCCATAAACTATAAGGAGAGTTGACATAAGAAATGACATCCATAAACTATAAGGAGTGTTGACATAAGAAATGACATCCATAAACTATAAGGAGAGTTGACATAAGAAATGTCATCCATAAACTATAAGGAGAGTTGACATAAGAAATGACATCCATAAACTATAAGGAGAGTTGACAATAAGAAATGTCATCCATTAAACTATAAGGAGAGTTGACATAAGAAATGACATCCATAAACTATAAGGAGAGTTGACATAAGAAATGACATCCATAAACTATAAGGAGAGTTGACATAAGAAATGTCATCCATAAACTATAAGGAGAGTTGACATAAGAAATGACATCCATAAACTATAAGGAGAGTTGACATAAGAAATGACATCCATAAACTATAAGGAGTGTTGACATAAGAAATGACATCCATAAACTATAAGGAGAGTTGACATAAGAAATGTCATCCATAAACTATAAGGAGAGTTGACATAAGAAATGACATCCATAAACTATAAGGAGAGTTGACATAAGAAATGTCATCCATAAACTATAAGGAGAGTTGACATAAGAAATGACATCCATAAACTATAAGGAGAGTTGACATAAGAAATGACATCCATAAACCATAAGGAGTGTTGACATAAGAAATGACATCCATAAACCATAAGGAGAGTTGACATAAGAAATGACATCCATAAACCATAAGGAGAGTTGACATAAGAAATGACATCCATAAACCATAAGGAGAGTTGACATAAGAAATGACATCCATAAACCATAAGGAGAGTTGACATAAGGAATGACATCCATAAACCAAAAAATATCTGATGAACTACTTACTACTTTCATAATCATTTTCAGTGTTACTGGTGGAAAAAGACTCATAGTTAAAGGTACATCTCAGGGGAGTAGCCAGCTTTTTTCAACTTGTAGGCCCAAAGGGGGTCTGGGGGCTTTGCTGTTTTTATTGTATTTTTTGGGACTATTGAAAATGTCAATTTCTTGACCAACTTGTAGGCCTGGCCTACATGGCCTAATAGAAGCTAAGCCACTGCATCTGAATAGCACAAAAATGCACTTGGTTAAACCATCATTCACTTGTTTACTTTATCAAAATAAAACATTCCTCATAGGAACTCTACTTAAGTAAGAGCCGAGTGATAATTATACAGACACATAAATACCAAAACATTCGTTTAACCTGTGACTTTAGTTCCTATAACAAGATGGACTGGAACTTCCTCTGGCAAATCTTCATGAGATCCCACCTCGTTTATCTTACGTTGCTGCAGCAATCGGATTTTATGACGTTTAGTATGTAATGCTGCCCGCTCCTCCTCAAAGAAAGATGAAGAACACCTGAAATGATTTTTTTAAACAATGAAATACAAAATATTTACTTGTATAGCAGTATGTAATATAGATCTATCTGTAAGATCATAGAAATTGCAAAAAAATTGACCAGTGAAATTTTTATCAACTCAACTTTATGATTTTCAATAACCAGACAGATAATGGAGACTATTAAGTAATTACCTTCTAGGTTTGCCCATCAGTCTTCTAATTTTAGACCATTCAACACGCCTCATCTTCTTCAACTTCAGCTGTGGAAAAGACTCCTTCAAACACACTTGGAAATCATTTTCTCCTTGAAACAGAGGTCTGCAATACATGTATATACATATTTATTTTTGTTTTCTTTTTCTAAATACAAACAAAAAGGGATATGATCAATCCTAGAAATTCAGCTTATTTGATATTGTTAGAAAAAAAAACATGCAAAATAACTTAAAAGAGTCAATATGAGACAGTTTCAACCAAGCTTTCCAGACCATTTTGGACAGGGAGAATAATGTGGTTATTCCTAACAAAATTCAAAACCAAAGAACACTAAACTAGAGTCTATGTAAAATACCAGAGAATATATATCTTGACACAATCTGAACTTCAAGCAAAGGACAAGAATAATATCTTGTCAAAATTAATTGGGACGGGGCATAAAACATCCATAAAAGCACATTATGCCTCAGAAACAAATAAATTTTACTTCCTCAAAAAAGGCAAACATGAATTTTTATCATGTTTAAATAAATCATGTTTAAATAACAGTTTTAGAGAATGTTCACTACTTGTTACCTGATGAAAGTAACGCTAAATGCAAAATAACTTGTCATAAAAGTAGCAAAATGTAAACAAAGTAGTATTTTGACTTCCATACAAAATACCAATTCACTATAACTGTACTTATTGCCAAAAAGCAACAGGTGAAAAAATATAGTCTAAGTAATTAGCCAATAAATTAAGTAACTTTTTGGAAACTAAAAAGTACATCAGAATTAAAAAGCTTTTGAGAAACATATATAAAAGCATTTCTGAGTCATAATGGGCCTTTAATATTATCCTTGATTATTTAAATATGATGGTCGGAAAAAAAGAAATAAGTGAAACAGGATAACTTACTGGTCAAGATTTGAGTAGAACCATTCATAACACACCCATTTGTGGGCCTTCGGTAGCTTTAGTAGGTTACGTAACCTCACACCAATTATCTGCGCCACACGTTTGTCATTTCCTGTTGATACGTAGTTTCTAGAACTTGACTGAAAGCAACCAAATCAAGTCTTAGTACACATATTCACATATATAAATGCTGATTAATTCATAATATGTAATAATCAATACATTTTGCACTGCTCATTGCATATTGTAGTTATGTATTTTTTTACCTCTTTCAGATACGAACTAAGAATGCTGAGTGTAAATTCACATTACCCGGTAATTCATTTTAATGCATCTAAGAACCCCCCCCCCCAACACACACAAAAAAACCCCACTATATCTTAACTTGAAATTTACTACAAAGTCATTTGAATCAAAGAAATAAGCTACATGTATTTATGCTCTTATAACCTCATGAGTTAAAAAATTATTTGTTAAAATTTCAATAGCTGCCCTGATCTGATTAGCAATGAAGAGTCAGCATGACTGAGGTACATATATACAGATCTTACATCTGCAAGTTTATATCACAGACAACTGGAAATAAACACTCTCTGGTTGTTGGTATAACTGTTGCTAAATGAATTTATCAACAATTTAAAAAACTTAAATAGAAAGTTACAAGTAAGTTTAAGATCCATTACTTTGACTCAAAAGGATAATAACTGGTATTTGTGCATAATACTGTAACTTGGCTTCAAGCTTATTGCCTATAAATGGCCAAGTAATATTAAGATAACATGATAATTTACCCCTATTTCTTATAGGGGGTAATAACATACTGCCAATTCAGGACAAGCAAGAGCACAGCATGCAGTGTTGATGCTCGTCTGTTACCAAAAAATAAAAATCTAAGTTGAAGGCACATAACTCCCAAATTATTGCTTTCAGAATTATGCCCATTGTGTTATAAGCAAGAATTCCAAGTTTCATGCCGATAACTTTCAAAATGTATGAATAATGTGTACATTAAATTTTTTGCACAATGGTGACGACACTGACACTGCAGCAATCATACTCGACTTTTTTTATAGAAACAGACAAGCTAAATCATAGAATAACAGTGAGTCGATTCAGCACAAAAAAAAACACTGAGGTGATTCTGGACAAAAGATAAGATGATAATCTTACAGTTCTAGATTGTTTTCTTGGACTAGATTTGGCCGGAGAGGTGGAGGTATCCTCGTCATCATTGAAGAACCGCATGTTCCTCTTCCTTATACGAGATGGCTATATAATCAAATATACATATTCATTAATAAGCCGCGTCACGACAAAACCAACATAGTGGGTTTGAGACCAGCATGGATCCAGACCAGCCTGCGCATCGGCGCAGTCTGATCAGGATCCATGCTGTTCGCTATCAGTTTCTCTTCTTGTAATAGAGTTGGTAAGCAAACAGTAGAGATCCTGATCAGACTGCGCGGATGCGCAGGCTGGTCTGGATCCATGCTGGTCGCAAACCCACTATCTTGGTTTTGTCATGACGCGGCTCATTTATATGTCAATTTAGTGAATTAAAACAATGTGAAAACAACACAAAACTGTTTATATATACAAATGTACTTATTGTAATAAATTGAAAGATTAATTAATAAGGATTATATGTGAATAATATATTTATTTTCAGCACTATGGGAATGGATCAGAGTCTGTACAAAGAGTCTAATTTCAAGATGTGCAATTAGGTAAATTGATAAAGAAAAATAAAAGAACAACAAAAAAATATTTATTTGTAGCTCAGTTCTTGTATTTTGATATTAAACATACTTAAACTTTGAATGGACTGTTTTAAATTCAAAGCTGGGCAACTAATTCAAAATGCGTGTTACTAAAAGTAAGAAAATAGTAAAGTAAGAAATGTGTATAACTCACATGCCCTCTCTTGTTAGGAGAATTCAAACCTGTAAAAGAGAGAGAAAAAAAACTTTTTTTAAAGCAGCATGCCTTAAGTTAAGATTCATGGTTATTGTCATGAAATCTTTTTATAATGCATTATCATATTAAAAAAAGAAATATTTGTCAAGTGAACATGGAAAGAAATTTACACATTGCAAACAACATTTACATAAAAATGATTTTTAATCTAGAAGATAACTAACAAGAACTGTCGGAGGACAGTAAAGCTCGACTATTCGAAAATTTGTCACAAGGGTGTTTCATTGAGTATAATAATGCTTACCTATATGAATACATAAAATTGTCCGAAAAGGTACAAACTCTTCAAGTTTCAATACATTCCCTACAGTAGTTATGGAGATACAAGCTTACATACAAAAACTTAACCAAGATTTTCTAAGTCGAAAAAGGGGCATAATTATGAAATAAAACAATTCAGAGTTATGGGACTTGTACCAATCACCTTAGATAATCACAGAGACCAAGTGTGTGAAGTTTCAATCCATTCCCTTCAGTAGTTATGGAGATACCAGCTTACACACAAAAACTTAACCAAAAATTTCTAAGTCGAAAAAGGGGCATAATTATGTTAAAAAGCAAATCCGAGTTATGGGACTTGTGCCAATCATCTAAGATAATCAGAGAGAACAAGTGTGTGAAGTTTCAATCCATTCCCTTCAGTAGTTATGGAGATACCAGCTTACATGCAAAAACTTAACCAAGAATTTCTAAGTCAAAAAAGGGGCATAATTATGTAAAAAAGCAAATCAGAGTTATGGGACTTGTGCCAATTATCTTAGATAATCACAGAGAACAAGTGTGTGAAGTTTCAATCCATTCCCTTCAGTAGTTATGGAGATACCAGCTTACACGCAAAAACTTAACCAAGAATTTATAAGTCGAAAAAGGGGCATAATTATGAAATAAAACAATTCAGAGTTATGGGACTTGTGCCAATCATCTTAGATAATCACAGAGAACAAGTGTGTGAAGTTTCAATCCATTCCCTTCAGTAGTTATGGAGATACCAGCTTACATACAAAAACTTAACCAAGATTTTCTAATTCGAAAAAGGGGCATAATTATGAAATAAAACAATTCAGAGTTATGGGACTTGTGCCAATCATCTTAGATAATCACAGAGAACAAGTGTGTGAAGTTTCAATCCATTCCCTTCAGTAGTTATGGAGATACCAGCTTACATACAAAAACTTAACCACAGGGACGCCGACGCCGACAAATGGGTGACTGCATTAGCTCGATTATTCTGCGAATAGTCGAGCTAAAAATCTGTCAGAATATGCAAAGGTACATGTAGCCCTTAACTGTGTAAGTCACGCAGATATAGACATATTTTGATAAATACTGCAAAAAAATTCTTTAATTTAACTTGAAATTATTTCTTAAATTGGGAATATTTTTAATTTTTTTCAAATCTTTGAAATATTTTGGCTCATTTGGAGGCATGTTTGTATAAGATAGAAGGACCACCCATACATGTATCTTATTATAGCACAAGAACAAGAAAATCTACTTTGAAAACCATCTTGATTAGTAGTAAATATAATATAAATTATGTAAAAGCCACACAATTCAATCAATTACGAAACAATCAGAATAAGGTTTTGTATTTTACATGAAAATTATATAAAGACACCGTTGAAATCTGCCAGTAACTTATAATTACTAGTACTGATATACAAAAAAAATGTCTACGTACCCTCCTTCATACTAACTAGCACTTTTGCTGAATTACCTGAAAAATAATGGAATTACTAAATAATCACATAATAACAATTTCTAAATGTTACACAATGTTTCTGTCCTATACTAGCATGAATTACTGTACACCTGTAGGATGATTCTAGGTAGTGATGGCAGGACTAAAGGAAGTTTTCAACTCATAAACACAGGCCTATAAAAGGCCTCTTAAAATAAAGGTGTTATAATAATGGCCAAAGGCAAATGTTTTGCTTATTTCCAATTAACTGAAACTGCAATATTATCCCTTTACTTCATATATACGCGAAACAACGCACTTTCAACACCACCTCTTGTAGACCTCAAATAGTGAAAAAATGCCCTATTTAGGCCCAAAGACTGTTTTTGTTTAAGACATGTTGTTGTTTGGGGGGGTTTGAAGGGGGGCGGCAGTCCCCCTCATCACCAAGAAAATTTTGGACTTGTGAGAGGCTAAAAATGACCCCAGATCTATCATAAAGTAACGTGTTACTAATGCTGAAAAGCATTAGACTCTATCTTAATCCATTGAGAAGTTGCAGCACTTTGAAATCAATTTTGATGGAAAAAATCAACGCAAATAGTGATTTTTGGCAATTTTGAGATGTCCCCTCGTTGCAGTGGTAACAGGAAATTTAAGCCTGAGCATGTTGTTACAAAGGCAATGGTCCAGTCAACATGTGTGCCAAGTTTGATAAGTATTGAAGCAGTTTTTATAGTTTTATAGCAATTTGAACTTGTAACGGGAGACTTTACAATTAAAACAGCCATTTTTCACAAAATGCTCATGAGATAATGGGTTATAGAAATTTGCTTTAAAGGCACATTATGCCTAAGAAACAAATAAATTTTTGCCTCTTTAGAAAGGGCAGTCATGAATTTGATAATGTTTAGATTTGTATTTTTTTTTAATGCTGCAACATATGCTATCTATAAGTATAATAGTTATTAGATATCTAATATGAAAGTAGACATGGAAGTCTGTTAAAAAAAAAATCATCCATTTTCCACTTTTAAGGTGTCATTTGGTTTTCGTTTTCATGCACCGCTTCTGATTTCACTCGTTACACCTCAACAATTATTATAAAGTTGAGAGTATTCCGTAATCGGAATACCCTGCTCATTTGTGACTAGCTATAATGCAGGCATTGTTGCATACTGTTCCAGCAGGTCCAAAGGGTAACTTACAATCACCACTTCCGTTCATGAGAAGACTCAATCAAACCGAGCATATAACATTTTCAATTTTGTCGACTTGGCCACTCTCTAGTCTAGAGATAATTCTGTTTTTGAGAAATTCTATCGTAGATCTCTACCCGAGATCTGCTAAACAGGTCTAGTATTTCATGATATTTACGGACAGTCTGTAAATTTTTTGACGATCCATAATTTTACAGATTTTCTTATCTGTAATTATACAGACATTGACCTTTTCGAAAACCTAGCTAAACACCGTTTTCCGGTACGTTACCGTTTTAGCTCTGGGGAATTACACCAAATGAAGTACATAACACAGTTACTTGATATTTCTATTTTTCTATCATTATTTAACCGTTTAAGGTGAAAAAAATTGATGTTTTTGAAAATTATCAATATTCCTTTCATATCTATTGCAAAGTATTCAAAAAAATAAATTATTTATAATGAAAATCAATAAAATTCAAACAGACGTAGTGGAATCTTCCATAATAAATAAGGTTATTTTCTGCATAAACTTGTGTATTTACTTTATTTTTTGTATGGAATTATTCATACAATGATATTTAATTATTTACTTATAAAGAAATAACGGTTTTATTTCAATTTAAATTGAAAAAAGGCCGAAAACAACGAGTTCGCTATTACACTCCATTATGTGAATTCCCCAGAGCTATGTACAGAAAGTACCGGAAAACGGCGTTTAGCTAGGTTTTCGAATTCGTGAATAAAGTAAGAAAATAGTAGAAGTTGCATTAAAATTTAAAACTGCAGGTTGAAACGAATTTAGATAAGGTTACGTATTATATGAATAAATGTAACAGTATGGTAAGATTCAGAACAATTTGATGACTTTCAATTTTCACACCATTACCTTTGTAGCGAGCTCGACGAGCTGGCCCGAAGGGCCTGCTCGCAAAGGGAGCTTTACGGTAACGCGAGTACCTGCTAAGTGATGGTTTTGAAAACTTTCGTCCAAAGTACCGAATTGGACACATCGCAACCTTTCGAATTTAAAGATAACGATAAAAACTGAGGAATTCTGACTGAAAACGGATGTGTAGACTGGTCACCCGCGCACGTCTATGGGAACCATAATTGGACAGGGAACCAGAATAACGGAAGCTGTGTATAAAATATCGAATGATAAAATGAAAATCGAAGGCGCCATTTTGTTTGAAATCTGAAAAATAAAAACAATTTTTTGTCGAATTTTGTTGTGAAAACTATCCAGAATGAAAGAAAATGGTCTAACTAAGAAAATGAATCCGAACACCAATATCTTTTATTCAGTCATTAACGCTGTACTGTGAGTGTACAGACATTTAAAGTATTGTTTACGTGACGTCACAATGTAGCGCCAAACAGCACATGCAAAACAAACAAATCAAGTACGCTATTTTAATGTCGCAAACGTTTTAAGTTTTACATTTATTTCACTTTAAATAATCTTTATTTCGCTTGAAAAAACAGAGTGAAATAAAATAAACAAAGTTTTATCAACGTTTTCAAAACTCGTTCATTTAACGACAGGGGCGGAGCCATATTTTACACAGTACGTGTGACGTCACACGCACTCGTCACTGCATTTGAAACAAGAACTGTCGGAGGACAGTAACGCTCGACTATTCGAAAATTTGTCACAAGGGTGTTTCATTGAGTATAATAATGCTTACCTATATGAATACATAAAATTGTCCGAAAAGGTACAAACCCTTCAAGTTTCAATACATTCCCTTCAGTAATTATGGACTTACAAGCTTACACACAAAAACTTAACCAAGAATTTATAAATCAAAAAAGGGGCATAATTATGCAAAAAAGTAAATCAGAGTTATGGGACTTGTGCCAATCATCTTAAATAATAACAGACAACAAGAGTGTGAAGTTTCAATCCATTCCCTTCAATAGTTATGGAGATACCAGCTTACACACAAAAACTTAACCAAGAATTTCTAAGTCAAAAAAGGGGCATAATTATGCAAAAAAGCAAATCAGAGTTATGGGACTTGTGCCAATCATCTTAGATAATCACAGAGAACAAGTGTGTGAAGTTTCAATCCATAGGGAACGATCTGAGATCAGCATCGTATACGTCACTGATAAGAGACCTGTTCTAAAAATAGCCACATATCGATAACTTTCGGACAAGGAAACTGGTTAATCTACATGTAGATTATACAACATGTAATGGTTACGAATACTTTTATTCACATTTCTCTCAATGGAAATGATGTTCCTGGAGTTAAACTTGCGTAAAGCATGATTGAGATGGTTTAAAACCATCAGGAAAATAAAGATGATAGGCAATACTTTCTCTGCATGTCAATTTGAGAAAAATGCCGGCGCTTGGCAATTTGTTTTTGTTTCACTGTTTATCAAAATTAGAAATGGTGATATGATATGGTATGATTTTAAGAAATTGGGAGTAAAAATGAAAAAGTATCTTTCTGTACCAGATTTACCGTACAAAATTGTGTTTATATGTAAAATACGCAGATTGGAGAAGTCATGAATCTATCCACCAAAGTGCTACGAGTATTAGATTTATGACTATAATATCTTAAATTAATTCTTTAATAATTTTAGAATACGCAAAACTCTGCATTTTTCCTATTTTACCTAATAAAAAATGCCGATTCTAGTAGTTACTTTATCAGAAATAATGTATACCTACATGCATGCTTGCATGTATATTTAAACTGAATTGACAATTGAGGTCCGTGATTTAACATACATTGTTTACGTATAGACAATGAAATACATTTGTTTTTTATTTTATGTCTCACACAAAATATTTGTTGTTTAAATCATCGCCAATTTAGAATTACTGGTGCATTTTGTAAACTTCGCCTCATCAATCAAAAGAGTCAAACTTTTTTCTGCCTGATTGTCAAAAACCGTTTTATTGACAAATATAGAGGCCAGAGCAGATTGTGACATATGTTTAAATTTAACTTTTCAAAAGTACAGTGTGTAGTTGTCCATTTTCTATTACACTAAATTCCATTTCCGACTTGTTTGCATTCTACAATTTCTTAAAATATTGCATGTAAACAAAGTAAATATACGCTGATTAACATCATGTATCATGTGAACTCCCTAATCCCTTGTCCGAAAGTCAGTACAGGTGATTTAGTGGTGATAAGGTAAAATCTATTTTTAGAACAGTGTTACCTTCAGATCGAAGGCTATTCCCTTCAGTAGTTATGGAGATACCAGCTTACATACAAAAACTTAACCAAGAATTTCTAAGTCGAAAAAGGGGCATAATTATGTAAAAAAGCAAATCAGAGTTATGGGACTTGTGCCAATCATCTTAGATAATCACAGAGAACAAGTGTGTGAAGTTTCAATCCCAATTCCCTTCAGTAGTTATGGAGATACCAGCTTACATACAAAAACTTAACCACAGGGACGCCGACAAATGGGTGACTGCATTAGCTCGATTATTCTGCGAATAGTCGAGCTAATAAAAATGAGCGATTATTTCATACTATTTCATGTAAAAAGTACACCGAGCTCGCTTTGAGGCTTTGCCTTTTTCATATTATAATTCAGAAAAAAATAACAATCACCTGAAAATAATTTATAGACTATGTCTATATTTTTATATAACCACATTGGCGAATGCTTTTTAATAACAGGTCTTTATTATTTTTAAAAGAAGAGATTGATCTAAATTAAATTTCTTACTTTCTTCCGAATCGTCCGCCATTTTCTTGAAATTAATCAAAACGTGTTTCCCATGTTGAAGAGCGATAGGAGCAGATTAAAAACTAGTATACGGTAGTGGGGTGGATTGGGTAGCTTGTAGTTTGGGATTTTTTTTGAACACCTCTTGCAAAGGACTGTTTAATTGCCATTAAAGTGAAATAAGAAGAAAAAGGAAGGAGAAGAATGATTCACATGTCATAACATGGTAATGTAACGATTCACCACACTAACGATTCGCCACATAACGATTCGACACAGAGTAATAACGATTCGCCACAGTTAAATAACGATTCGCCACGTGTTCAAATACAAATTTTTTTTCACATCTGTTTTCAAACTGTTGATGGAAAACTTTTTTCCATTTTATATTTCATTTGTTAATTACATAAATTAATTACACTAAATACACATTTTATTGAATAAAAACACACGAAAACCAAATATTTTATTAACAAAATTACATAACACATTTTATAACTTCGTTATTTATATAAACTGGAAAAATATACGTGTACGTATATTTAGTTTGTCTTGTAATTTGTCTTTGAATTTCTGAATATATTTAAATGCCATTATGTTTGTAATGTTTTGTACACGGACAATCTTTAAATATGACATTTTTCAAATGGATAAGTCATGCCTTCTACTACCTTTAAGGTCTTTTCTAGTAGATGTTTTCATTGCCTACTTAAGTTATAGCCATACCTACAATTAGAAGAACTTCTTACGAATACAAACAGAACGTGTAAAGCGCATTACAACATAAATATTACTATTGCGAACTTTTGGAAGGAATTTGAAATTGACCATCTTTTGAATTTCATGAAAAAAAATCTTGAAAGATTTTTCCAGCATTCTAAAGGATTAACCTGGGACATACGAGAACATTTTACATGTATTTTCCAGCATTAACTTATATATGTTATAACTGAGGGCCTCTAAACCTGAGTTTTATTTTCCATAACCTGGAATTCTAAGATTTATACTGGTTTAGGGATGTATATTTGTGAATATTTATATATCTATCTATCCCTGACTGTTTTGATAGGTAAAAAATTTAAATATTTAAAAAACTTTCTAAAGCAACGGTAGTTAATTGGGGTGTCTAACAGTTTAAATAAAATACGGAGTAAAAAGTACATTGTAGAAGGCGTTTGCTCGCTATATATTGAGATCCAGTATTTTATAACAATGTAATAGCTTAAATATCATACTTAAGAGAATACATAAAGGAAGACACAAAATGATATATATTCAAGATCAAGATTTGATTTTCTTGCAGTGCAATCTACATGTATCTATATCTTAAGTTTTACTAGGACCTCACCAATAATTTTGAGCTATACTTTTATTGTGAACATTTGTTCCAAAATATATCAAATGAATGACCAGACAGACAGACTAACAGACAGACAGACGGACGGACGGACGGACGGATGGAGTCCATTTCTGTATTCCCCTTTTTTCTTCGTAAAGGCGGAAGACAATAAAACTGATGTCTTGGAAAAGCTTTCCGTCGTATGAATATATTCTATATTCAAATAAAGTTCACACAATTATTATAGTAAATGTATTTTATTTGATAACGCATTAATAAGTTGATTTCGGTAATTAAACATGAATTTTGGTCGTACTTTACCTACATGTTTGTTTACTTCCGGTAAGTCCGTTTTGTATTTTCGGATTGTGAAATAACTATTTTTAATTACCATTTGCTAAAATATTCCAATTAAAATTAGTACAGCTTTCAAATAAAAACTTAGCTATAGGTAGTTGAGTTGTTAAAGGCGACTAACATCTTATCTCAATGGGTATACATGTATAATGCTGTGCACTACTTCCGGTTTCGATTTCATAGGCTTAGGCACACAGAAAATACCAGAATATTAATAAACAAGAAAAATATTATAAAAATTCGTATGTAATATAGGTACGATTGCATACTAACTTCTGTGAATACTTTTTATGCTTGCTGCATGAAAGGTGTAATTTATAATGAACAAACATATCATCAGATATTTATATTTATTTTTAGATTCATTAAATAATTATCAAATTATCAATAAACTACATGAGTTTAAGACAAAATTAGAATCTTCATCTACAAATGAGGAAATTGACTCAAGTTTACAAGATTTTTATTGTATTATTGATGAAGTATGTTCACCACTGTTTAAAAAGAAAATTTTTCAAAAAAATGTTAAAGTTACAGATACTCAAGATAAAAAAATATGGTATGATAGTGACTGTAAACAAAAACAAGTTGCGTTTTATAGAAGTTTAAATGATTTTAGAAAAAATAAATGTGATGAATCCAGAAAAAATATGGTGAGTGCTAGAAGCGAGTATAAAAGTATATTGAGAAAAAAGAAATATATATATGATTGTGACCAAACAAAGAAATTAGAAAATTTGAGATTTATTAATGCAAAGGCCTATTGGAATTTGTTAAAAAGTACAGATTTAAATAATAATAAATCAAATACATTGACAGCTGATAACTTTGTACAATATTTTAAAGCTATCAATGATCCGGACTCTGTATTTTTTCAGCCAGACGAGGACATTTTATATTTTAATGAACGTTATTTGAATAATGAACTCCAGTGTATGTTCTCAGAATTAAATGTTGAATTGTCGTATTTAGAAATAGTGAAAGCATGTAGAGAATTAAATATAGTTAAATCTGCAGGCCCAGATTATGTTTTAACTGAATTTTTTAAGTACGGTTCGCAGAATGATATATTTGTTAAAGGAGTATTTTTATTGTTTAATAAGTTATTTTCTACATGTTATTTTCCAGAGGTCTGGACAGAATGGTTTATTATTCCATTGCATAAAAAAGGAGACGTTAATGAAGTTGGAAATTATAGAGGAATTACTTTACTTAGTACATTTGGGAAATTATTTTAAAAGTGTTAAATAACAGACTATGTAACTGGGCTGAAAATTATAATGTTTATATTGAGGCACAGGCAGGCTTTAGAAAACACATGGGAACCATTGATAATATTTTTGTTCTAAATGGTATTATAAATCATCTATTAAATTTAAATAAAAAGTTATATGTTGCATTTGTGGATTTTACAAAAGCCTTTGATTATGTTGTTAGAGACATTCTGTGGTTTAAATTGATTAAATTGGGAGTGAGAGAGAAATATTTTAAATATTTTACAATCCATGTATAAGAGCATTAAGTCACGTGTTAAATATGATAATAATGTTAGTGAAGATTTTGTTTGTATGCTTGGGGTACGTCAAGGGGAATGTTTATCACCTTTTTTATTTTCCATGTATTTGAATGACATTGAGGAACATTTCTCTATAAATGGATTCGAAGGAGTTGAGTTAGGTTGTTTAAAAATATTTCTACTGCTTTATGCAGATGATATTGTAATTCTTTCCGAATCAGAGTCAGGTTTACAGAAAGGTTTAGATTTGTTAGATATTTATTGACTAGATGGAAATTAACAGTAAACGTGAATAAAACAAAAATTATGATTTTTAGAAAAGGCGGGAGAAATAGACAAAACTTAGAATTCATATATCAAAATTCTGCTATTGAAGTAGTTAATTCTTTTTTGTATTTAGGCATTGTATTTAGTACTGGTGGTTCTTTTCAATCAACATGTGAAACATTAATTGGTCAAGCTTTAAAGGGTATATTCAAATTAAAATCGTATCTAGTGAACTTCCCTTGTCTTACAATAAGTCATTGTTTAAATCTATTTGATAAACTTATTTTACCCATTTTAAGTTATGGTAGTGAGGTGTGGGGTTTCTATAATTCAGAAAAAATAGAACGAGTTCACTTACAATTTTGCAAACATTTACTAGGAGTTAGGCCTCAAACACAAAATAATTTTATATATGGTGAACTGGGGCGCACAACTTTATTTTATAAACAGTTAGTAAATGTTGTACGCTATTGGTTTAAAATTATTGAAAGTGATGAAAATAAGTATATTAAAAAGGTATATTGCTTAATGTTGAATGATTTAGATTTGCATCCCCAAAAGAATTCTTGGGCTAAATCTATTAAAGAGTTGTTAGAAAATTTAGGTTTTAGTTATGCATGGTTGTTTCAGGGAGTAGGAAATAAAACTTTATTTTTGGAATATTTTAAAAGCAGACTTACTGATGGTTTAATTCAAAATTGGAATAGTCAACTACAAGGGTCATCTAGAGCAAGAACATATAATTTATATGCAAAATTTAAATTTCAGCCGTATTTGGATATTATCAAAAACACCAAATTAAGAATTGCATTATCAAGGCTTAGGGTTTCGGCGCATAGATTAGAAATAGAAACAGGCAGGTGGCACAAACCTTTAAAAATCCCATATTCAGACCGTAAATGTTTAATCTGTAAAACATTAGAGGATGAATTTCATTTTTTACTAGAGTGTCCTCTGTATATTGATTTACGCAAACGATATATAAAAGAATATTTTTGGAGAAATGCTAATGTATTAAAATTTACTGAGCTTTTAAACAATGATAACAAAGTAGTTATTCAGAAGTTATCATTGTATGTCTTAAAAAGTTTTGAACTAAGAACACAATATTTGAACCGAATTATGTAAAATATATATAGATATATACATGTGCATGTACAAGAATTGATGGATCTTGCATATATCGTATTATGTAATTGTTAAAATTGTATTTCTTTATTATTTTTTCTTAAGTCACCAGAAATTCTCCCCTGTTAAAGTTAAAAACATGATTTGTGAATTAAAATCAGTTAGATATATATTTTTCCAGGTGATTGCAGATTAGATACAATTGTTATGTACTGTTTATATACTGTTTGACTGCCATTGTGATGATATTTTATTGTGAAATTTAGATATTACAATCTTTTGTGTATTAATATATTTAGCTTTGTAAGATGATGGACATATCATGTCTTATTTCTGAATAAAGTATAAAATATATATTTAACATTTTCCTGGAATGTGATAAATGTATCATAATATTAATGGTGCATGCCTTCAGATGAGAAAAAAAATGATTTTAAGGAAATTATATATATAAAAGAAACAATGCACGATTTCACTGCTTTAAAACATAAACACAAAAATACACATATTTCACTGAACAGAAAATGGAAAAGCTACGTCTTCAACAATTTAAGTGACAGATCAGATCAGTGTATGTTATCTTTATACCTACTCTTATTTCATGGCTTATCTTGATCTGAAATTGCTGAACGTCTCCGTAGCCATCATATGAATATTTATAAAGTTATGATTTATTAAGCTGCAACATGTATTTCGGTAATATATGTTTCTGACGATGCATGTAAGTATTTGTTTCTGATGAAGACAACAGTCGAAACTAGTAAAGATTAAAGAAATATGTGTTGTTTTAGTATATTTTAACTGTAAGTATTTGTTTCATTTTAGATAAATAGGGAGGTATAAGGTGGACCAAGCAGTGTATGCTCCCAGAATACGATAAAAGAACAAAACAAAACAGATGAAACGATTATAACACTTAAAGGTGCTAAAATTCTTGAACAAGAAGTTTATTTGTCAAGTCTAGTGAACGAAGAAGCCAAATGAAAAGTTAAAAAATTGTATAAAACATCGTGCGGAAATGTATGCCCTTTCTTGGACTAGAAATGCCAATAAGGACACAGAGCAATATAGAAACGGATATCCGGTGAGTATATACTTTGTATATAAAGCGTTTTATAATTTATCTTTTTTCTGAGGGCAAAATTTTATAGGTAGGCTTGAATATAATTTTTTATGATAAAACCATTGATTACTCATCTTCTCGACAGGGGGTCGGCACCGGTGTCGAAATAACACTCTTTTGAATTCATTTACAACATCATATATCAGTAACCATTATAGATATTTGCTTGTAAATTCCCACACTTTTTGAGAACATATAAATAAGAAGTTACTATTCAAGATCAATAATCCCAGCATGGACTTTTGAAGAATTATGACCCTTTATGTCCTAAGAAAATATTTGGTGTAAGTTTTGCATGCAACGTCTATCTTCAAAACTACTGAAGTTTTTCATTTGAATCTGAAGACATGTCTTTTGGATCATAAATGGAGGACCTATAACCCTGACATCGATTTTGACCGAATAATAGTCCTTTGTGAATTTGGGAAATTCTTGGCTAAAGATTTGCATGCAATATCAAATTTTAAAACTACTGAAGGTTTTCACTTGAAACTGAAGACATGTCTTTGAGATCATATCTGGAGGTCTCTATCCAAGACCCATAACTCGTATGAATGTTGACTGAATTTAGACCCTAAAATGATAGATATTTCTACAGTTCTTGAAGCATGCACGAAAATAACTCGATAACATTTATTCTAATTTCAAAGCAAACATATAATTATTTATTAAATTGAACTTTATTTTTAACGCATTTGGTTTTTAATTACACACGTCTAACATGCCTAAGCAGAGATATAGATAGAGACATAAATACATGTAACAAAGCTATCTATGTCTCTGTTATCTATGTCTCTGGTTTAAGAAACTATCAGCTATGCGGACAGGCTTTGATAATATAAAAACAGATTGAAATCTTAAAAAATATCTTCATTTATAACTTTCCATGGTCTGTAAGTGACACTTTAATATGCGACATATTATTCATTAAATAGTCAATTTTAGGATAAAAAAGATGACCCAGGACTTGATGACAACTACAGATTCTATACGAACCAAATCACTTCAAAACCCAACGGTATTTAAAGTTATGTGATTACATATAGTAGAAATACCTTGTACTATTTATTTTAATAGATAAATATATCAGAGAAATTGCTATTTTTTATAAATAAATATTTGATTTTATATTTTACTAGCATGTGCAACGGTACCGTATAATTTAGAATATTTTGGTAGTATACTTGCACAAGGCATGTAAGCACAGCATTTTGATATTGTTGCAGGCGATTATATAGATCAGATTCATGTGAAATGGTGGGGAGATTACAAAAAACTAGAAGCTCATCATGGGTACATACAGTGGTTGGTTAAAACATTTTACAAATCTTTAATGTTTTACAGTAAGACGCTGTTTGCTGACAATAAAATCTGCTAAACTTTTCACTTTGCATGATACAAAATAGTTTCCCTCTTATTCACATTCAGCACGATTAGTGCATGGACGTTTAAATTGTCTAAAAATGTTTTTTAAGATTTTGCAAAAGAAAATCCGCCTCAACTAAACATGTTCCATTTGTAAACAAGTAGTTTAGAAAGGGACCCTTATAGTTAAACTGCATTGGCATTCTATAAAAGCCAGTTCATATATAAAAGGATACAACACAACGATTAAAATTTATTGTAGAATTAATAGCATCTTTCTTTCGGCCTAGATTGAAACTTCTTGAATACAGACTTCATATGAATTGTTCTATTATTATATGAAGGAATTTAATAATACTTTTTTGGCATTAAAGTGGGGTCTAAGTGTAAAAAAAGATACCTTTAGATTAACTTTTCAAACATAACTAATTGTAAAATTATTTATACTGATAGGCTTTTCCCGATCAGAGAATCTGGTTTGAATCGTTATGCCAAGGAGTTACAGCTACATGAAATAGAGGTACATGTACAAATCTCTAACAGTGCGTTGTCCCTTTGTCATTTACCAGTTGCTGACATTATATGATACTCATATCTATGCTTTTCAAGCCTATCCACCCTACAGGCAGTCGGTGCGTTCTTTTAATTTCATCCCTATATATTATAAATAAAGACTACCTATATATGGACGTTTTGGATTAAATTTGGGCCGGTGAGCGAAAGTTGATAGTTGCCTTACATTTTTCAGTTGTTTGCATGCACTATTTTCATAAGAAAATTTAAAGATTGATTTATGTTCAAAATCGTCTTCTGACGGCTCTATCAAACGATGTCCGACCTAGACAAAAAGTGCATTTTTACTTTAACCCATTACTTCATGAGCATTTTGTGAAAAATGGCTGTTTTCATTGAAAAGTCTCCCGTTCAAATTGCTATAATACTATAAAAATACTATAAAAACTGCTTCAACACTAATCAAACTTGGCACAAATGTTGACTGGACCATTGCCATTGAAACAACATGCTCAGGCTTAAATTTTCTGTTACCATGGCAACGAGGGGACATTTCAAAATTGCCAAAAATCACTATTTTGCGTTGATTTTTTCCATCAAAATTGATTTCAAAGTGCTGCAACTTCTCAATGGATTGAGATAGAGTCAAATGCTTTTCAGCGTTGGTTACACTTTACCTTATGATCAATCTGGGGTCCTTTATAGCCTTTTACAAGTCCAAAATTTCACATGCCCCTTCTGGCAACCCCCTGATGTATCTTTTGGTTGGGAGCCGCGCCGAAAAAGTGGTAACTTTTTTTTAACAACAATTCTTAAACAAAAACAAGCGTTAGGGGCCTAAATAAGGCATTTTTTCACTATTAGAGACAACAAAAAAGGGGGGCGGGTGAAAAAGGCGTGTATATCGCGTAATGGGTTAAAATTCAATCGTTTTCTGTATAAACAGGTATAATATTGTACATTTTTGCAAAAAGAAATCATTTTTGAGTCGATTGCACTTTATTTGGTAAAAATTGGTTGAAAATTATCAAAGATCTGGGACTTAAAATATGACTGCCTGAAAGAACTGGCTGAAAGTTCCGCCCGTGAACCTTTCTACCTTGTCTTTATTTATAGTATATATGGATGAAATTAAAAGAACTACGCACCGACTTCCTGTGAACATTGTAAAATGTATGTTGTATAAAAAATGAACAAAGAATAATCTTAAATAAAAATAAATATGTAAGTATGTTTGATTTTGAGTTATTTGATGTAACAACTAAGCTTTTTTTTAATCATTCAAAAATACATTGAGATTATTGTAATAATAACTTGTACATAATCATAATTCACTCGCTCAGAAAATTAAAGCGGATGATAAGGCTATACAGAGGATTTTGATATCTTACAAAATGATGCTAGATTTCTATGGAATGAAGTTGGATAATGAGAAAGATGGTACAGTTGTGAGGAGTGAAAACTGGACAGACAGATTTAAACATCTCGACAGGTGAGACCATTTACACATTCATTTTTTTTGACGATGTCAAATAAATATTTGATATTTTTTCAAATATGTGATTGCTTTTATACTTGTTATTATTTGTTAAGTTAAACAGAAGAAAAATGTCTATATCTAAATGAATTAGGTATACATGTCAAACAGCAAAAAGTTGATCATTTACCGAGAATACTTCTTTTTTGAGGCGGCAGCTTTCTTACTTTGTTAAAACTTGTGTCTAAATTAATTTAATTTGCCTTTAGAAATATGATTTCATATTTTCATCGAGTGGTTGACATAATTCTTCTTGTTTCCTAACTGCCTCTTTTTTGTTCCTAATAATATAACCTAATACTTATCCTTAAATGGCCAATGTCGAGTAGTGATCAACAAATGCATAATTAAATATACTGGATTTTTATAAACCTATGAATTTAGTATTTAAAATCGGGACTGTTTCAGCCTTTGTACAAGTGGTCATATAAAGTATTTGTATGTTTATTTACTACTCGATGAGCTATGATATTATTACACATTAACTCTAAGATCATGCTTGTGAATGAAATCGTCTTTCATGAATATGTCATCTATGTTGCCTCACAGAATGGCTTAGATTTATAAGGTTAGATTACACAAAAGTCTTGTCTTTGGACTATACGTATAGTCTGTATAAAACTGTGATGATGCATATGTCTTAGTTGTACATTTACAAGATTGCATGTTTTGTAATTTATCCAAATTTTGACATAAGGTGAAGTAATAACTACTATCCCCTTAAAGTCGCATTAATTTTACCTCAGAAGCGAATAAATATTTACTTCTTTAGAAAGGGTGTTCTTTTTTTTTTAAAAAGTCAGTGAAATAGCACTATGTCAAATGTAAAGTCACGAAGCTCAATGAAGCATCAAAATCGTTCTAAATCATGATGATTTTTCTTTCAGGTCACATCACAATTATTTGAGGATAACCAGAATACTGAAATGTCTAGGAGAATTTGGATATGAACATCTAAAGAAAAACTTTATAAAGTTTATATTGCATGAAGGACTTGTTGAGGGTACCTTATCTAATGTCATTGACAGCTGTGTCAAGTATTGGATTGGCGTTTTGAAAGATGATGGCGAAAGGGATGAAATGTTGAACAGTTATGACAATCTTATTCAAACGAAGAGAAAAAACGGATCACGACCTTTGTTTTTCAAAATATGCATACTGATGTAGCAAATCTTTATCAAAAATGTAAAGCTCATTTTGAACTTGATAATAAATGTATAATAAATGTTAATCAGAACCGTAACTCTTGTACAAAACGATGATATTCTTATATTAAATTAAGTTTAATATCTTCTCTCCGCCACCCCCTACCCCCATTCTAGTTGTGGTGCATAGTCAGGGAGCAGGGGTTAAGCAATATGTTTATAATTTTATGATATTTATTGTGTACAATAATTTTAATACGTGATATACAAAAAGTTGGAATGACAAAAACCTAAGATGACGTGAAGGACGTTTCTAGGAGTAATAGTATCTTTTGTTAAGGCAAGGACTATCAGTTTAGCACCAACAAGTTTCTTAAACTTTGCACGATTAATGAATCATGATTGAAACAACTTGATAAAAAATGGCGGTCACCTTTCTACTTTTTGAGATATCTACCGGCGCGGAATGAAAGTGATCCTTTGCTATTAGCAGGTGAACTCAAAACTGGTTAAAAGATGATCTATCGTTTAATTGTCTGTCATGAAGCAAAATTTGCTGAAAATGAGTGTGCCAATATTTTTATGTAGTAGCTTATAAATATGAAATGACGGAAATTTTCTTCGAGGTATACATGTATCCTTTTTTTTTTAAAAGAAAGTCCAGTATGTTTACTTTAATTTATCTTTTGGACTGCATTGTTATGACTAAAATGAAACAATAAAAATAAATTGGAATAAAAAAGGTATCAATCGAAAGTGGCATAAAAGAGTAAACAATCACTTTCAGGGGCACTTTCATCAGTTTGTTTCAATTATGCTTTTGCAAAATTTAAGAAAAATTATCTGGATTTGTTTAAATTTTCCGTTTTTGCCTTTGTAAAAAATATCAGGTCTCCCGGAAAAATCTTCAAAAGTAACATAGATTATATACATGTATGAGTTTTAAAGTTTTTCGTATCGAGCCGTAAATCCCCACCCCCAAAACAAATTTTTTGTCATTAGTGTAACATTTATATTTTCTATTTGGATGGCTTACTAGCACACAAACTAAACAAGACCCGAAGGATGGTTTATATATTTTATTATATGTGTTGCATCCAAGTATACACTCATAAACTCCCAAACATCAAGTAAACATACACACAGTAACAATAACGATATCTGATATTAAAGGCGTGGCTTATTATATCTTGTAGACTTGCTTACTACATCCTCCTCTATCTTTAGTTTAGAACTCATCTATAAAATCAATAAACTTAAATCATCAAAAATGTGCAAACATATTGTTATAAGAAGTATGAAATAAGCTATGTAGCAAGTCTATTGTTATAAACTCTTCTCCGTTTCAGCAGAGTTCATGAATCAATGCGATTTACTCTAATCAGTGGACTGGGCATCTGCTTCAACGAAGTAATGATAAATATAATGTCATTGTTAATTGTCATATCTTTTCTATTTTTCGTAATGTCACAAAATATCAAGCAAATTACATTATTATCACAACATTTGTTCAAACCACTAGCATTGTTATCAAAAGAATGATTTGTTTTTCCGTTCTACCACACAAGAACCAATTTTAAGGTAATTTAATAAAAACCAAAAGTAATAATTTCACGAATAACAGAATGTTCTCACATACGCTATCATTTTTCCTAGATTAATAAATCGAGCAAGCGGATATAAATGATACACTGCTATGATAGCAAATATAATTAGGGCATTATTATGGCCCACACATTTGAGTCATTAACCCTTATAGATGTAACGAGAAATGGTATCATAGATTAAACCATTTTCTTTTTTGAATCTTCATAACGTCTCGGCGGTCGGCGTTTCCTCTGCGGCCTATTTCTAGGTAAAGATGTATTATCTGCAGGTTTCGTCTGCATCGGCTCTTGATCTCCATGAACATATTTAAACTTGGAAACGTCCCGTGTGATGTCTTTTCCTTTATGTTTGATTGTAAGCATAGATCCATTCATAGCAATGATTATCCCGGGGGTAGGGTCAAACGCTGTTTCAAACTTATTCCGTTGTTCTCGTTGTAATAGCACACGATCTCCCAGTTTCAAATTATATATTTTGTTTTTCGCTTTTGATAGACTGTCCCTGTCTCGAATATCTGTGTTTTTGTTATCAAATGTCATCTTTGGTAATTTTGTCTTTAATTTACGATTAAACATTAATTCACTAGGAGCTGTTTGTGTAGTTGTTTGTGGTGTGTTCCGAAAATTCATAAGATATCTACTTAACGCTCTTTTATAATCTTGTCTGGACGCTATCGCTGTTTTAATTGCTTTTTGCAGTGGCGCCATAAATCTCTCAACTATTCCATTTGCCTGTGTGTGCAATGGAGTGATTCGTTTATGTTTGAATCCCGAATTATCAGCAAATTCTCTGAATGCGCGACTTTGAAACGGAGGTCCATTGTCCGTTTTCACTACCTCTGGATATCCGAATATCGAAAATATCGCCTCTAATCGCGGTATGACTGTATCTGCGGCTGTCGATTTGATTCTTTCAACTACTGGAAATCTACTGTAGTCACATATAACAACTAGTAACATGTAACCGTCTGGAAAAGGACCACAAAAGTCACAACTGACTTCAGAAAACACATCTCGTGGTAGTGAAGTTGGTTTGATCGGGTCTGGAATAATTCTTGTTGATGCAGCTTGGCATACAATGCATGATCTACAAATTTCTTCCACCATTCTATCCATATGTGGAAACCAGCAATACTCACGTAATAATCCTTTGCATTTTGATTGGCCTTGGTGACCTTCATGCGAAAGCATAACAGTTTGATTTTGCAGACATTCTGGTATGCACAATTTTGTACCCCGTAAAAGCACAAATCCATCTTCCGTATATGCAACTGCAAGTTCTTGATTGTTATTCAAATTCTCGTATAACCGAAAATTTTCATCTAATTTGCATTTTTGAGTTTTCCAGTCATTTTGTTCTAACGCATTTCTTACACAGCTTAATGTACAGTCCGTTTCGGTAGCTTTTGCTACATCTGACAGCTTCAATGCATCTGGCAAAGCGTTATCAGTGATAAAGCTGATATACTGCTCGGCTACTGTATTTGTTTCGTGTCTTGCATGTGGATGCCTGGAAAGATAATCTGATATCATCATTTTACCTGGTCTATAAACTGTCTGAAAATCATACGTTGTCAACTTCAAACGCCAACGTTCTAATCTTGGTGATTGTATTGTCTTGATATTGTTGAAGATCGACTGAAGTGCAGCACGATCTGTTATCAGTTTAAATTTCTTGCCGAATAAATACAAATGGAAATGCTGAATCATGATGACAGCACTCAAAGCTTCTCTTTCTGTTTGAGAATATCGCGTCTGAACCGAATTGTATGCTTTGCTTCCATATGATACTATTTTACCGTTTTGAATAAGTATTCCTGAGCATCCAACTGGACTTCCGTCGACCCAGAGTTCAGTTTCCTTTCTAGGATCGAAATATGTCATGACCTTATCACTAATTAAGGTATCTTTTAATGATGTGAACGATTTTTCTTGGTCGGCAGTCCATTCAAATTTTACACCTTTATGTGTAAGTCGTCTTAATGGTTCTGTTAAGCTTGAATAGCCATCTATGAACTTAGACAATTTAAATAGTTCGTGAGACCCAGAAATGAACGGATTTCGGATATTGATTTTGGTCTGTCCATATTTTTCACTGCATCTACTTTGTCAGGATCGGGTGAAATTCCGGATTCGGAAAATACGTATCCGTAGAACTTGATTTTAGATTGTCCGAATGAACATTTTTGGCTGTTCAGTGTGA